GAAAGGCACCAAGCTTCTCGTCGAGCAATAACGATTCGGTCTTGTCGAGTAATAATAAACGATCTAGCAGTACAACAACAACAGCAGCAGCAGCATCACGGCGACACTCCTCCATGCCGCTCTCGCATCACTGGCCCATGTTTGGTTCCTCGGGTTCCGTGGAAGAATGCCCGACATCGCCCACTTCAAGTTATTCGACAGAGTATCCTGGTCAGGAACATCATCTTGGTAGAAATATGTTTTATAATAGTTCAGATTCTTTCCATCAGATGCCGGCAGATGAACAAAGTCCGAGAAATAAAACACATTTCCAACCATTGGATCCCATTGACGAAAAAGCAATGTTTGAACGTTATTTTTTGGAACAAAAACAACAACTCATCATGATGCAACAGGTAACACACATATTTCTGTATCTTTAAACACGAGTTATTTTTTTTTTCTTACATATATATATATCTTGTATAGTATATGTATCAGCAATATGGTCCTACTATCTTGACAGATCCAAAATACATGATTCCTAATGAATTATCTTTACATCAAGATCATTAAGCCCTCACTTCCAAAAAAAACACTATACTTTTATTCTTATTAATTATTTGTTTGTTTATTTTGATTTCACTATTTGTGTTCTAATTCTGTTTGTGTAAATTTTTTACTCCTTATTTCCTTTAAATATTAATAAAATCTTATATATTCCTCCTCTTTATTTCTGTTATCATCATTTGTGTCACTGTTGTCACTTGCATATGGATCAGATGACCCCACTGAAGGTTCATTAATTTGGAACCATCTTTATTTTCTGGGCGGAAGTGTCACCAATAAAAGTGGGTTTGTTGTGGGAGACAAGGATGTGGTTTCAATTAACGTAGAAATAGAAGCAGTAGTTGAAGATATATAATAAATAGATCGATCGGATGCGGACTCAATACTGTCCAAAATTGATCCAGGTAAAATTGTATATATCTTTATGATATCTGATACTACTATTGAGTCTAATACACACGTCAATAAATCTGTTTGGAAGAAACTGGAAGTAGTGGCAGTGGCACTAGATGAAGTTATAGTAAAGGGTATGGATGATGTAGTAGAATATGATGAAATTACGGTTGTACCGGGAAGAAGATCAGTTACGGATTTCGTCATAGTAACGATTAAAGATGAAAGAGAAGAGCGATCGGATTCTTTTAGTCTGCTAAGATTATCTAAAATAGCATTTATATCATGATCACTGCT